CAGTGCAGACAGTACCTCGTCGTAGTGGGAGGGTCTCTCATTTACCCGACCGATAGATAGGTTTTGGAGAGTCTAAGGGCTCAGTTCCAGAAAACCTAGAGTCGGACCCAAGGACCTACAATGAGGCACTCTAAAATAAAGATGCATAATCAAGGAATGTTGCAATGAATGCTGAAATAGGGTCAATGGACTCTAATCAGGTCTGGGATCTTGTATAACCACCCGATGGGGTACGACCCATTAGATGTAAGTGGATCTATAAGAGGAATAGAGGATCGCATGGGAGGTGCAAACCTTCAAGGCTAGGCTTGTTGCGAAAGGTTATACCCATATTGAGGGTATAGACTATGATGAGAACTTTTTCGCCAGTGTCTGAATTTCGACAATTATCTTGACTCACCAGACGTTCTGAGGGCCGACTGGCGTAGCTTTCTCAAAGAAAATGTAAAAACCACAAATGTCTTTAAGTCTTCACTATGTACTTAGTTTTTGATAACTAGAAGAAACAATCCTTGCCTCATCTTCTCTTCTATCAACTTAACAAAAGCTAAGATGAGAACACAAACTAATCTCAATGTTGAGGTTGAGATAATGGATGCAAGAGTTTAACTTGTTTATTTACAAATAATAGCCAGAAATTATCCTAGCTAGTTTAACAGACATTTATTTGTAGATGTTTCACATATGTAAGAGCTATCAAAGGAAAATAAACACAAGAAGTCGTTGGACGACAGGTTGAGAGACCTCAATCGACAAAGACTCGCCAGCTCATCAGGCAGAGTGCCTCGGAAAGTGTTGCCTCGGAGGTTGAGTGATAAGAGGAAGGAGAGGGTTTCCCATGTGTCGGGGGATTGTGCCGTCGAGTCCCATTCAGGGGAGGTTCAGGGCGGCGACTCGGCCCTGCCGGGGCTCACACAAGACGGCTATCTAGCGACAAACATTCGAGTTCCTGGCCCAGCTGGCGGCCAGGGGATTGTTTGGTGCCATGTTGGTAGCCATATTTCGTGCGATATATTGAACAAAAAGATGTTTTAATTTTGTAGTTAGTAGCCCAGCCTCTAACTAATTGTCATCTTGTCATTTTCTGCTGGATATCAATTCCACGAAGGCTTGGTTTGTTTGTTGTAAAATATGAGATTAAGTGTCTAGCATGCTTCTCGGTAAACAAACTATAAAATTGGCAAATTATTGTTTGTAGAGTCCAAAAATTAGATGAGTAGATCTAAAAAAATTCTTAAGCAAACGAAATGTATAATTATAACGAATATAACGGAAAACCTATGAATTGAAGCTGAATTTTTCAGTTTTTATAATTGGACTATAAACAGAAAATAAAAGTACAATTTTAGTGCGGACATATTAAAGTCAAGGCGATTGAAATATTTTCGCAAGACAAATACGCCCAGTGCAAAGCTAACGGGTGTATGCGTCTTGTCTCCAAAGTTACAACGACTGACGTCTTGAAGACTGTAGTACACCAACTTTTGAGCTCCGGCAAACTTGATCGGAGTGAGCACAATACGTTATAATGCGTGAGGCTTTTTCTGGAGAATAAGAATGCAAATGATGTGATAAGTATTTCTTCTCTGTAACTCTATGTCCTATTTATAGAACTTCTAGCATAAATGGAGAACCTCTGGTGTTCAGCTTGTAACAACTCAGTCCAGTAGTAACCAAATGATGACTGGTGTAATGGGCAAAATATTTTAACGTCTTAAGGTGTTTATAGAGGTGGACGCGGTCTGGGATGGTTCGGGATTCGATTTGTCTCGATACCGATCCCACTTTTATGAACCGGTCAGGAAACGGTTCGGGATGAGACACTATCCCAAATAGACCGGTATTGTTCGGGACCGGGACATAGCGGAATCAAAAAGTATTGATTCTATTAAAAAAAAAATAAAAAAAAAAAAACAACCAACATATTGATTTCATGGATTCAAGTATTTACTTAACCCAAATTACCAAAGAGTATTGATTTCATTATAAGTGAGTAAAATCCATTAAATTTAAGTCACCACTTAACAACATCTAATATCTAACATAAACATTGTGCTTAAAACAAATTACTAAATTCATTGTTTAGGGTTTTTTTTCTTTTATTTTCTTTTTTTTTTTTTTTTTTTTTTTTTTTTTTTTTTTTTGCTTGATTGTTTAGTTTTGACTTGGACAATTGAGCTTTTATTTTTTACATATTATATTACAAAATTAGAATGCTATTATAGATTGAATACCAAATGATCTATTGTTAATTATGTAATTGGTACTATAATACTAATATAAATTATAATAATAATGTATAATATATTGATATATATATATATATATATATATATACTTATATAATATTTTGTACGAAAAAAATGAAACGGGACAAACAGGACGGTTCGGGACAAAATTATTCAAAATTGATAGTGACATTGTTTAAAACGATTCAGTACCGGGGACGGGACAAAAATAAAGAGAATCTTTCGGAACCTTATTCGGGACCATTTCGGTACTGAGAAAATACGATTTTTTTGTCCACCCCTAGGTGTTTAACTCACCTCCAATCCACCTGATAACAACCAAAACTGTCAGGTGGAAGGTCACATGTCCAAATTCAGTGAACCTAGTATATGTCACACATGTTAGATCAAAACCTGACTCCAAATCCTATTTGATTTGAATTTTAATTTAAGCCACAAATTTACAATTAAAATTACAGCAAAAAGATATATAGTGGTTGTGCCAAAGGACGAACACCAATACCAGCTCAGACCATCCAAGGCCGCTCAAGTCTAGCCAACAGTCCAATTGCCAAGTACCAAAGACCAAGGCCCAAGTCCCAGGCCCTGGAAAAAGGGAAATTTTGTCACTCGAAAAAAGGAAGAAAAATGTCTTTTTCCTTCCAATCATGAGTTGACTGTTTGATTAACCACTTCTGACATTTACACCATATTCCATACTGACGTTCACCAGGATTCAATCAGATCCTACGACCAACCAAAGTTCCTTGTCTAATCCCGGGAACCTAGGGCCTTCTATTGTACCACAATAATTGCCAATACGGATTAAGCCTACTAAATAACGACGACTTGGGCCATAAGCCTACATCGATAGTATTCTAAGACCCAGATTACGATGTCGACACAACGTGTCGGCTCAGATCGTCCAAGGCCGCTCAAGTTTAGCCCAGAGTCCAATTGCCATGTACCAAAGACCAAGGCCCAAGTCTCATGCCCTTGAAAAAGGGAAATTTTGTCACTCGAAAAAGGGAAGAAAAAGGTCTTTTTTTTGCCAATCATGAGTTGATTGTTTGATTAACCACTTCTGACATTTACACCAAATCCCATACTGACGTTTACCACCGAATCGGCAAAAAGGAATCGATCAGATTCCTACGACCAACCAAAGTGCCTTGTCTAATCCCAGGAACCTAGGGTCTTCTATTGTCTAAAAATTGCCAATACGGATTAAGTTACTAAATAACGACGACTTGGGCCATAGCCTACATCGGCAGTATCCTGAGACCAAGATTACGATGTCGACACAACGTGCAAGTGTACATCGGTTCAAACAAAGATGCCGCCCTCTAAGTCGATCTCATCTTGCTCGCCGACCTCACTCCAGTCCATAATCCTGTTAGGCCTACGTCACTATAACGAAAATGTTACCTCCTCACATCGGCCATAGACGATCGGAACTTTCTTCATACCGACCTCAACTATATCTGGTGTGAAAAGGATTGTCGCCTAAAATTGGTTCGCACTGACTAAAGAGATTATCTGCTCGAGCAAGTTGATGGGACATGCATCGTTCTGCATATCTCTAACCTCTGAGAGATCGCGAAATGTCCTACAAATAGCATATTTAATGTCCTTTTCCTTCTATATAGCGAGGCACCAAGACACCGGAGATCATCGAAGATTAATCACAAATAACCCTAGAAATAGCAAATACTAAGCTTACTATAACATTTTTCCAGATAAAATAGGCCTTCATTACACTCTTGTAGTAAAGAGGTCTAAGAGCGACCAAAATTCTTAAATAAAACTCAAGGTGAAAGCTTATCAATTTATCGACTTGTTCTAATTTCTTTTCATGTCTTTGTTACCATTCTCAGTCATCTTAAAATACTACTCTCACACCTACAAATAACACACTTTTGCTTTGTAGTTAAGTTGACACAAATAACAGTTAACACTAGCTATCATGGCGTGCATTGTAAACTTTTTACCAATTTAGTTTTTTTTTTTGTTATAACTTGAAATGAATAGGGTAATTTCGAACCAGTTAGAGACGTCTGATATTGTGAGGCGGATCTTGTGGTCTCTTTATTCCACCAAAAGCCTCGTACATCGTTTTTAGCTCAAACAAAAAACGATCCCTTTTTTTTTCTTCTTGATTTCTCTAAATACTAGATCAAGTATATGTGACCAAAATCGGTTACTTGCTGCTTGCTAGAAGACATGAACCGGCCCGACTGTATGTATTGTCGATTCAAGCCCAGCTCTAGCGGTTTTAGGCCTATTCTTTAAATTTTTTCAAATTATTTTCTGACAAAGACCCTCTGGGTCTGGGTTAACCCGGCGGGTCACACGGGTCGAGTATATGCTTTTCATTGGATCTCAACAGTCAAATGACGACACGATTAAAAAATGTGATCGTTGAACGACCCGACAGGTCGGGTTCGACTTGGAACCGAGTTCTGACTTGGCCGGCTAATTTAAAAAAATAATAATAATAAAAAAAAAGTCAAAGACCCATACCCGTCTTTTGGCTCGTCACCGGCGTGTTAAAAAAAATGGAGACCCGAAACTAGCCAGTGTTTAGCATGGGTCCGATGAACGACCCGTAGACCCGGGCCGGTTACAGGCGATCCTTGGCCATGTTTGGCTGAAAAAGACTAAAGACCAATTTAAAAAAAAAAAAAAAAGAAAAAAAAAAGGAAAAGCGTGAGACGAAGAGAATTCTCATTTTTCTAGCCCTTGCTTTCACAATCATCGGACTAAATCACCATGGCCGGAGCCCTCCTCCCGGCGGCGAAGATGACCGCGAGTGGCCGTCCCGTATTAAAACCCGGAGAGGTGGAGTGCTCCCTCCTCTCCGCCGTTGACCTCCTATCGGAAGACTCCCCCACCTTCCCAAACCTCAAATCCGGCATCCTCATCCTCACCACGCACCGCCTCCTCTGGCTTCCACCGGAAGCCGCCCCCAACGGCCCATCAAGCCGCCCCTGTTTTATCCCTCTCTCAGCAGTCCAACACATCTTCTCCACCAAAAAGTCGATCAAATCCATGTTCCACAGCCCTAGGATTCGTTTCCAGGTTTCCGCCACGGCCGAGGGGGCCATCGCGGAGAACGGTGGCCTGAAATCTCTGGCGATCACTTTGATAGTGAGAGGGAAAACTGACCCAGATCCATTTTTGGCGAAATTTTGGGAAGCTTGGAGAGGAATGGCCTGGGAGGCACAGGAGAAGTCGGAGTCCGGCGAGGGGTCGGCTTCGGGATCGTTGGCTATCCGAGTGCCGGTGGTTGGTGTTGCTGGTATATTGAGGAAAGAGCAGGAGCTGTGGGAGAGTACTGACAAGAACTTGCAGGATGCTTTTCAGGATTTGAATGCTCTCATGGTCTGTAAGTGTGTTGTGGAATCCCTTGCTTATATTGAATAATTCACCTAGTATCAATTTTATGCTCCATCGGCTAAATGTGAGGATGTAGTTTACTACAGCAAGTTCAGAATTTAACACAGTCTTAGAATTTACCTTCGTGTGGATTGTGCTTGTGAAGACATTCCTTTTTATAATAGAACTTGTTCAAGTGATCTTGTGATGTTGATAGCAAAGGCCAAACCGTAATATTTACTGCAAAATAGTAAATGTCAGGTTGCTAGTCGGTATTCCAGACATCTAGAGGCATTTTGTGTGTTGGTACTAGTGAAAAACAATGAGTTAATGGTTTAACAATAAGTTTTTTAGATGAAATTTAGAGGATGTTAGTCTGTTGCTTGCCTCAATAAAAGCTTCTGCATCTTAATGTCGAAAATTAGAGTAAAGCGAAGGAGATGGTGATGCTGGCCGAGAAAATGAGATTAAAGCTTCTCTCAGGATCTAATAATCAAATTAGTGGGGCCAATGATGATGAGATGGGTTCTAAGGAAGAGATGCAAGATTGGTTGTTGAGTGTCGGTATTGTATCTCCGGTTACAAAGGAGACAGCTGGTGCTTTGTATCATCAACAGTTATCTCGTCAGGTATTGTTCTTTCTGATTTAAGGTTCCCAGTAACAGAGTGGACTATTTCTTTTTCTTTTTCTTTTTTTTTTGGCTACATATGATGCTAATTACAATTTTGAAGCTTCACATGCTCCATTAACTGTGTTTTGGTGGCATTTCATTTTTGTGTTGGTTTTTCTGTAACGTTGGCCTTCTATTAGGTCTCTTCTTTCTCTGATACTTTTTCTGTAGAAATGGATAAAGAGCATGTCACTTAAGAAAATCAAGCTTACGGAAAAGGAAAAAAAAAAAGAAAAAAAAAAGATAGGAAGAATCTCTCTTTTCTTGTTGAGTTTGAGTCTTTTTGAGAGATATTCTTGTAACGAGCCCTTCTGCTGAACCTTTTTCCTTGATTTGGCTACTGCTGACTAGTTATGTTGGTTGTCAGTTGGCAGATTTTGTCAAGATACCCTTAGAGAGGGCTGGAGGAATGATTAATCTGATAGATGTTTATTGTCTCTTCAATCGAGCCCGTGGCACAGGTTTAGATTTTTAACTTCTCTTTCTGTTCATGGTTGCATGCATTTTTTTACGTTTGAAGCATATCATAAACATGTCAAGAAAATTAGGCATGTCTTTTACTGGAACATGATGGAAGTGCAATTTTTCACAGAATTGATCTCTCCTGATGATTTACTGCAAGCATCTTCTCTCTGGGAAAAGTTTGATGTGTATGTATCTTTTAGTACTATACTCATTCTTTTATTTCTGTGATACTGATGGCAAAAGAAGTTTGCTTTAGACATTTGGCATTTTTGATCAACTACAATCAATGATGTTCTTATTAACATAGATTTCTAGTCGTGTTTTTATGTAAATAGGTCGGTTATGCTACGGAAATTTGATAGTGGTGTCATGGTGATCCAGAGCAAAACCCACAGTGATGAAGAGGTAATTCTGCTTATACCGATTGACTTTCCATTATTATTGTTAATTCCTTTTGTAACTAACCTCCTTCAGATTTCTTTCTTTGTTGTAATCATAATCTGCTTTTATCCCGTATAGGTATTTGCCAGGATTAGGTCTTTGATTATGAAGCCTGAGGCCTTACGAGCTGGCATTAGTGCCTCTGATGCTGCTATGACTCTTGGTGTTGCTCCAGCTATGGCTAAGGAGTATCTGCTTGCTGCTGAAGGAAAAGGCATACTATCTACTCCCAGTTGTTTTTTTTTTTTTTTTTTCCTTCGTACGTTCTAAAGAACTGGCTTTAATGACTTTCTCACGGGCCATTTTACTTGCAGGATTGCTATGTAGAGATGTCAGTCCCGATGGCTTTCGTTTCTACATCAATTTATTTCTCGAACTTTACCCAGAAAATCTATACACGTAAGTGGAATAAAATGTGGCCAACCATCTCTAATTTTGCTGCATGTTATGTGTTAGTCGATATTGTTGAAGCTACGGCTATGGGATGGAAGACCAAAATCAATTCCATTTTTCACTGTGTTCTGTAATTTTTTTAGTCTCAAATGATAAAAAGAAATTAAAATAAAATAAAAATTGTGGGCACTTGCCTTAGTTATTAAACCCTACGGCGTTTGGAGATACTTACAATTCTAATGTTTGTCAAGAATTGGTGGATTGAGGAAATGCTATTCACCAGTGACAAGTGGTATAGATTTTACCTTACAGACTAAAGATATATACTAATTGCTTGAGTTGAATTAAATTTCACTCATCCTAGTAAAAATTTGAATCAAGTAGAGGTTTTCGTTATTCATTTAATCTCATACAAGTGAAGATACAGTACCAGATTATCCGACCCATTTCGAGATTGGCTGACCAGATTCTTTTGTTTTTGTTTATGTCTTTACCTTTCTTTGTACTTTTCCTTTTCGCGCAGGGTGAAAGATCACAGTCGATATAGCACCTGGATTGGGGCCGTGTTATCCAGGTGAACATTGTGCATCAAAATATATCAAATAGAGCATTTTTGCATTTGCTTCATCCAGGGTGGAAAAAAAAA